CTCTCCCCCTCCAAATGCTCTCACATGACAATGGATGTAGTAGTTCTCCACCTTACAGATCCATACAATAGAACTATCTTGACGCTCGTATTGAAAACTCTCACTTTGAAGTTAGTTGACAGTTGTTTTGTGTTCCATATGCTCTTCAATTGTTCTGTATTTTGTTCATGGCTAAGTATGTTGATATGTTATCGAAAATTCCGGGTCACCCTCTAATGCCCTGGTACGGTCGAGAGTGGGGAGAGTCCACTCTCCCTCTCCAAATGCTCTCACATGGCCATGCGAATATATAGCCTCTGACAGGGAAGTCCTACTCACTGACTTCTCGTGGCGAAATAGGGTGTTGTTTACGAAATTGAAACGACGAAAAGCGAATGTTCGGCGCTTTAATCGGGTTGGTGGACAAGGCAAGTCCACCTAGGGGAGTTGGAAAACCCTGATTCCAAACCAATGGTGCACATGGGCTCCAGTATCTTGAGGGAACAAATGGCGTATCAACCAACTGTTGGTCACCGGCTACCATGGGACTGAATCTCCTCACGATGCTCTACTGCCTTGTGGATCATACCTTCAGGTCAAAGGCTCCGTGTGTGGAACCCTTAGCAAACCATCTGCTTTAGTTTGGGCACTTGGATAGTATCGCAGCCCTCACACAAGTCAAATGTGATTTGTGAGGCGTATATATATCTGGTGCTTCCTTGTACCAATATTTATGAGTTTAAATAGAATAAAATAAATAAGGGTTATTGTTTGTTCGCTTATCATAACATATGAATCATGTTGATTTAGACGATACATCAAGTTCACATCAACCTAATAGATAGTATCAATAGTACAGTAGAGTGGATTGAGAGATTAATGGTGGGAATCATACAACTAAGGTTCCATTCTACCATGGTTAACATTTTGTAAACAACAACTGTTCAGGTGACTGTAAATAACCGCCTGAGATCGATACTATGTAGAATTAAGGTGAAAGTAGAATCTATACGATATTAGCTATTGAAAATAACAAAAATAATGGAAAATTAGTTAGTTGAGTTAATAGAGTACTTTTAGTTGAGTTCGGTCACCCACCTCACCTTCATAATTGTGCCACAACTACCGAGATGACTCGGAATTTTTATTTATTTATTTATTTATTTAAACACATAAATATTGATACAGAGGGGGAACCAAATACATATGTACCACACAAATCTCATTTGACTTGTGTGAGGGCTGCGATACTATCCAAGTGCCCAAACTAAAGCAGATGGTTTGCTAAGGGTTCCACACACGGAGCCTTTGACCTGAAGGTATGATCCACAAGGCAGTGGAGCATCGTGAGGAGATTCAGTCCCATGGTAGCCGGTGACCAACAGTTGGTTGATACGCCATTTGTTCCCTCAAGATACTGGAGCCCATGTGCACCATTGGTTTGGAATCAGGGTTTTCCAACTCCCCTAGGTGGACTTGCCTTGTCCACCAACCCGATTAAAGCGCCGAACATTCGCTTTTCGTCGTCTCAATTTCGCAAACAACACCCTATTTCGCCACGAGAAGTCAGTGAGTAGGACTTCCTTGTCAGAGGCTATATATTCGCATGGCCATGTGAGAGCATTTGGAGAGGGAGAGTGGACTCTCCCCACTCTCGACCGTACCAGGGCATTAGAGGGTGACCCGGAATTTTCGATAACATATCAACATACTTAGCCATGAACAAAATACAGAACAATTGAAGAGCATATGGAACACAAAACAACTGTCAACTAACTTCAAAGTGAGAGTTTTCAATACGAGCGTCAAGATAGTTCTATTGTATGGATCTGTAAGGTGGAGAACTACTACATCCATCGTCAAGATGGTACAAGTATTTATAAACAGTTGTTTACGCAAAATACTCAACATTCACTGGACGGATACTATCAGCAACAGGGTTTTATGGGAGAGAACAAACCAGCTTCCATCTGAAGAGGAAATTAGGAAAATACGTTGGAAGTTGATAGGACATACATTAGGGAAATCACCAATATTCATCAGGAGGCAATCCCTAACTTGGAGTTCGGAAGAAAAGCGGAAAAGAGAAAGGACAAATCACATTACACCGGGTAATAGAAGCAGATATGAAAAGGATGAATGTTAACTGGAAAAGATTGTCTAGGACAGAGTTGGATGGAGAATGTTGGTGATCGGCCTATGCTCCTCCACAAGGGGTAACAGGAGTAAGCAAGTAATACTTAGTCAGCTGATTGGTGATTCTATCTTCTGAGGACGCAAAAACTGGCCAATACAGATACCAGTTTGTGCCAGAAGCAATTTCGGCTTAACAGATTGGTTGCAAAAAAATAGACTGGGAGCTGAACTAACTTTCTGTTCTGCATCAACTGCAAATACACATTCACACAAACATGCTCGTATTCATACAAACACAGATATACCATGCACCGGGTAAGTAATAGTGAGTTTAGACGCAGGGTATTAGGGAACGATGGTAAATCAGTTGATGAGGTGATGAATCTTCATCGACTGAGATGGTTGGGCCAGGTGTTACGTATGCCCGAACACCGATTACCACGACGCGCTATGATGACTAGTGTAGGGGATTGTTGGAAGAGAGTTAGGGGGAGGCCAAACCAAAATGTGGCATCAGTGTTTGAAGTCACTAACTTTTAGTCTGGAACAAGTTGTTAGATGCAGACTACCTGGTTGGGGTCCGCGTAACTATCGTAACCAATGGTTGGAGACTCTGTGTGACATGGCTCAGAATCGATCACAATGACATAGGTGTATACACTCCTTATCTTCCCTTAAACTTTCATATCTGTCTTCCTTCCTATACTATATCCTTATATACAATCTATCTTTTATATATAATCACCACTAAATTAACTAATTCTATGAATTCTGTGTTCATCTTGTTGTGCTAATGAGTGAGATATGGCAACTTGAAACGATGCATAAATGTACCTGGTCTTACGATGTAACTGACTGACTGACTGACTGATTGACTGATACCATGCATAATAAGCTAAATCTAAAATGGCATGAATATGATTAAACAATTGGAAACGATACGATTACAATCATTTATTTTCAGAAAAAAAATCGCATTCCATCACTTTATCGATCAATGAAGTGATCGAACAAACAAACAAACAAAATAACCATTTAATCGATTTGTTATGATAGTGATTGATTCAATTAACTAGTATCATTATGATTGTACTGTAGTCTAATGCAACTTGACAAAGACTAATGAAAGTCTTTTGAATTTAGATTGATACTTTAGAACAGGAGATTCACTTGATGGATAACTAAACATAGTGCAAGTACAATCATAGATTCGAATTAGACTAGTAATAATGGCTGTAGTAATCGAGTCTTTAAAGTAGTTATTCATGTTATAGAGTTGAGATCATGAGTCAATTGAAGCTAGACCACCATCGAAAACCTGGAAGCACTGGACGGCCGTTTCGTTCTATTATGAGACTCCTCAACAGTGCGCATCCACGATCCTGCACTCGCGAGAAATAAAAATATTCTCTAATGTTTGAAGGAAGAATGCATGACCTAGCTTGTATATGATGGAGATGTAAAGTGAGGAATATTTATATTAATTCTAAGGTCTTAAGAAAAGTTTGTATATTGGATGGTGATGTTTTGAAATTTCATCAACTGAAATGTTACTTATTCCCAGTTACTACTCATGGTTGGTATAGATGTAGGTTGAAGAAATGAAAATAAACAGATGATGACATGGATCAGTCCATCAAGTCACCAGTAGTTAAACTGAGATATGTTAAAAATGGGAACTTCTTACTTGAACAGATACACTTCTCCCCCTCGCATATCACTTTCAGCACCTCTTTGTATATGTCCCCTTTTGATAAAATAAAGTTTGTACCTAATTTTTTCACCGCAATGACTATTTATCATTACAAATACTCTCGGACTGAATAAGACAGAACTTCTATAATGATTTAATAAAATTCAAGTTCACTATGGATTTCATCAATTGTCAGTAGTTCAATAAACAAAAATCATTTTCTATACGAAATGTGTAAATGGTGTTTGTCATCGATTGTCTTCAGCTGGGATAAACTAAAAAATAGAGAGTACTTATCACCAGTGTCGCTCATATATTGGACACATCAAGAATGTACATCAGTGACCATACAAAGAGTTAAACCCAAGGTCATCAGATCTCTTAACTATCACTTAATCCAATGATTTTCAAATGTAAATGATTCGCAATGAAATTTTAAAAATTTCTAATTCTCCATATGGCTAACCTCAGAAGATCATTACTCCCATCTAGAACCTCAAGAACTCATCCAGAAGTAAATCAATAGTGCACAAATGACTCTATCGTTGTTGAGATGTTTTTTTTCTTCAAAGATTACATAAAATGCTGACTATTACTGAATAGATTAACTAGTTAAAGGGTGATTATTTACTGGGGGAAACAACTGTTCCATTATTTTCATAGTTGAAAGCATGAGTCAATTGAGGCTAAACCACCATGGAAAATTTGGAAGCACTGGACGGCAGTTTCGTCCTATTATGAGAATTCTCAGCAGTGCGCACCCACGACCTCGCCTAGCGAGATTCGAACTCAGGACCTACCAGTCTCGTGCCAGTGCACTTAATCGATAGACCATGGAGCCGGCATCTGATGGTGTTAATGTTTAACTTCTACCAATCCATGAAATCTGAGCAACCATTCATCAATTGTCTTCAGTGAGTTCCTATCTCACAACAGACGTGATTTGAACTCCACTGGTTATTGCTTCTCATTAGAACTTCAGGAATTATCTCTTGAAGTCAGTCACTAGCGTGCATATGTCCCATTATTGCTAAATTTCATTAATTTCATTGTCTACTACTTACTAGTTTCCATGACAAAAAACCCATCTCAACATTAATAAATTATAAAATACCCATAGCAACATACATTTAAACATACACAATAAGTATATAAAATCTACACATAAAAAAAAACAACGGAAGCTACTTACTGTTTCGTAATTTTTCTTCGTTCACTTTTTACCATTGATTTAGGTCTTTTCGATTGAAATCCACGTTGAAGGAAGTTCTATGTTAAAGAAGAAAAGAAAGAAACGAGCTTTACAGTGAGATACTTAAGAAGAATGTCTGTCAGGATATTTGAAGTATTGAACGTTTAAACATGATAGTGTATGTATGTATATACATGCTCAGTAGCGAAATTCTTTTCATAATATATGAAATATAAACGGTACTTTCAATGATTTTATCTACAATTAACAACCAATTAAAAGGTTATATAATGTGTAAGATGCTTACTATATGTCTTAAGAAATCAATCCCTGTAATAGTATTGTCTATGGTGTGTATATGTGCAAGTTTATATACTACATAGAGTAATGAATAGTAGTACAGACTCGTATGTATGTCAATCTACATCTTCTATTTTCATATTTGTGCATGTTTATGAAGTTTTTTGGTACTTACGAGCAATTCTGTTAGGTTTATTTTTTATAAACACATAAACAGTAATGCTGTGATGCCTGTTATGGAATCATGAGTGAATTACACAAAAATGTATCCAATGTAAATGAACATTGAGGAAATCACCTGTGTCACAAGGCAAGCCCTTACATGGAATCCTGAAGGTCAATGGAGAAGAAGAAGACCAAAGAACACAGTACACCGAGAAATGGGGACAGACATGAGAAGAATAAACGATAATTGGATAGAACTAGAAAGGATGGCCTAGGACAGAGTGGGTTGGCGAATGCTGGTCAGCGTTCTATGCTCCATTGGGTGTAACAGGCATGAGTAAGTAAGTAGGAAAATTTTACTGATTTCCTCAGGTTAACTTAAAAAAAAATGAACTAATTAGACTTGATATAAAAATTTACTTTTTATCATGAGATGTTCATTCATCCTGAATATGTGTTAGTTTAAACAAAAGTTGACATTTAGTTACAAACCAAGAGAAAGGATTATTAAGTTAAATCTAGATGGATCATTATCTATGCAGAAAGTAGTTTATTAATCTTTGATCTTGTTCATAGTTTTTAGTAGGGATTTACTTTAGTTAACTAACTATTGAGGAACGAGAAGCAATGAACCCTTTCAGAAGTGCACATCCACAGCACATAGGCAATTGAACCAAGTAACGTAAAAACAAAGATGGATGGTGGCTAGCAGTAAAATCCAGTTTGACGCGTGTTTCGTCCTATTTAGGACTTGTCAGATGGATGTACCTACATCTGAAAGTCGATGTTCATTCTGGGACTCGAACTCAGTACCTTTCGCTTCAAAACGGCATCACCTTATCCACTTAGCTACTGAGTCCTGATAGCCACTTGCTTGTGCAATGGGTTAAAGTTTGAATTCACTTGGTATTGTTTGTTTGAATCTTCCGATTGATGTTTAGAACTGCACATATGCCAATAAGAGACTGATCAATTGCAGTCCTAAACATCAATGGGAAGATCCAAACAAACAATACCAAGTAAATCCAAGTAACTTAAAGTTTCGCCATTGGCGCTTAAATTTGAGATCCCTAAGTCAGTAGCATATAGAACTTTACATTTCTAACTTGAGTCGGTTTTCGACGTTACACCTCATATCCCAACAACTTAGACGGGTAACTGTCTCACATCTAACAGTTGAACGCCTCCGACTTTTAATCTTATCTGCCCTACATTGATTTGATTTGCCTTGATATTGACATAGTTTCTTCTAATTTATTTCTCATATTGTTCATTTTCAAATTATACCGTCACAATCAATTTGTCAATGTGAATAGTCGTGAATAAAAAGGAATATACACTTGTTCAAGGTTGTATATTGACTTATAATTGATTGAAGAAAAAGACTTTATTATAGAAAGATGGTTGTCGATGGTTGAAAGGGATTTTTTCTACTTTAAACTTATAATCAATCATAAAGTTCAAGTTCGAATATACATATGGTTTAAGATTTCTTTCAAAATTACAATAACCTTAACTGTATAGTATGATTTAGACATTATATAATACTTTCATAGTTGAGTTCATAAGTCAATTGAAGCTAGACCATCATGGAAAACCTGGAAGTAATGGACGACCGTTTTGTCCTATTATGGGACTCCTCATCAGTGCGCATCCATGATCCCGCCTAGCGAGATTCGAATCCAGGACTTACCAGTCTCGCACCAGAGCACTTAACCGATAGACCACTGAGCCGGAAGACATCCAACGGTGTTAATGTCTAACTTCGACCAATCCACGAAATCTGAGCAACCGTACACTAATTGTCTTTAGTGAGTTGATAGGACGAAATGGCCATCTAGTGCTTCCAGGTTTTCCATTGTGTTCTAGCTTCAATTGACTTATGATTTCAACTTTGAAAATACTGAAATCTCCAAAAAAAACCCATTCTCATCTGCTTATAATTTGTCAATCAATCTACTTTCAATCAAATTGGAAAATATTTACGCCTAACAATAATTAAAGGTAACCATGACAACTGATTCTACATATTTACTTTTGCCAAATAATTTTATCAGTTAGAGATTGATGAATATGAATTAAAAATGTTTCATTGTTTTATGATTACCCTTCTAAACTTATATTGTGAAATTATCAGAAGGGGGTTTTGTGGAGATTATAGTAATTTTATATATTTGAGATCATGATTCAATTGAAGCTAGACTATCATGGAAAACCTGGAAGCACTGGATGGCCGTTTCATCATCTAAATCTCCAGTAGTGGAACGTTTAGCGGGAGACTCACTTGTTGACTTAGAATACGCCGATGACATAGTTCGATTTGGTGAAGACGCTGACAAAATGTAGTCTTCTGACCACTATAAGCACTAATGCAGGCATGTTCGGGATGCGATTCTCCTCCTCGAAATGCAAAACGTTACTTCAAGATTGGGTTGCATCGACACCCGGAACTAATGATAAGGAGTGAAGTAGTTGAGTGTGTTGATCGCTCCACTTATCGTGGGATTCTCATCAGCCTTTGAGTTCTGGTGTGTGACGAAATTCCAGCACAGATACAGAAGGCTCATCTAGCTTTCGCCAACTTGCGAGACATCCGTCTAGCAATCAAAGGACGGGTTTACTGTGCAGCAGTTCATTCCTTCCTACTTTATGGCAGTGAAACATGGCCGATAAGAGTAGAGGATATTCGTACGCTGCTAGTATTCGATCATAGGTGTCTTCGAAGCATTGCTCGTTTATCTTGGGACTACCGATTAACTAATGCAGATGTTAGGAAACGGGTACTATGTAAGAATGGCAAATCGATTGATGGAGTAGTGGAACTTCATCAGTTGAGATAATTGGAACACGTGTTACGTATGTCCAACCACTGACTGCCCCAACGTGCGATGTTTTATGATGTAGGAGTAGGTTGGAAGAAAGCTAGAGACGGCCAGACCAAAACGTGGCATAAGTCCATGAAGTCACCGACAAGTGGATTGAGCCATGTTGGTAGGTGTAGACTACCTGGTTAAGGTCCGTGAAATGACAGCAATCGATGGTTAGAGACGTTGGATGACATGGCTCAAAATCGTTTGCAATGGTGAAGTTGCATCTACTCTTTGTATTCTGCCAAATTCTAATCCGAATTCTTCATGTCCTTATCCTTTTTCTCTTCACAAATTTATTTCCCTGGAATATATTCCTTGAATAACATCTTCAAACATCAATCTTTTGGATTACTGCTTATACTCTTACTACTTCTACCACTATGAGATTTGAATCGACAACTACATCTCTGCGTCAAGGTGTTATGGCAACTCGAGCTGATGTACGTACGTACAATGTTCTACTTTGTGACTGATTCGTTGACTGACTTCCTTGAATCACTTTCATATGATGTGATTCATTTTCTTCTCCAGACGTAAACTTCCATGTTGGTATCTAGTTTAGCTCAAGATAGCGAAGCTGAACGATACCACAGAACCAACCTGGGGCCTCCAAGTAGCTTCAAGATCGCAGCTCATTTATCAGAATACGTTGGGAAATAATGGTGAGAATTAGGATTAGGGGTTAGTATTAGGGTTTTCATCACATGTACTGATATCAGCTAAGATGCGAGCCTCCTAAAATTAATATCTTGGTCCTACGTTTAAGCATAATTGGTCTTTTTATCTCCTTAGCAGCTAAAATGTTTAAGGTCTCAGGGTCACTCTAAAGTGCACTTTGGATTTACCATAAATGAATAGTGGGGCAACGGCCTAATGATTAGAGCTCTCACACTCCAGCCAGTGGGTTACGGATTCAAGTCTCGGATTTGCAGCTCCAGCCTGGACAGAAAGATGTCATAAATTAAGCAAGTATAAACATATTATGTGACTACAATCATACACAATTCCAAGGTCAAACCTTAGGTGACACGTTATAAACGTGGCATACCTTGGAATTCAATTGACTATTCAACTTCTCAAGGTCTCAGGCTGTGTAGTCTTGTTCGAATCAAAAGGACAATAGTATGCTCATTTTTGACTTAAACCATACACTTTGAAAAGAGTCTATGAAACTTTTATGTATCATAGAGAGTTTTCCTTATTAATGTCAAGAGAATGACTGAATTCTGAGGATTATTCATGAGGAAAATATTATTTTCTATAACTAACAGATAAGCTACTACCATATCGCGATATCCATAAAACTTAACTGCAAAGTGGTAAATCGTGCGGTCGAGAATCCCCATCTACAAAAACATTGCATGCGCAAACAGAAATCCAGCCGAAATACTCACTGTTTCAAATCGACTAGTTGAACCACTGAACATCATAGATCATTTCAGAAAGTAACAAGACAGTCATGACCAGAAGATCGACTATGAAATAAACTAAATCCGTTCAAAATAGTTAAAGATCTAAGGAATTATTAAATTCACTTAGTATTGTTTGTTTGAATCTTCTCATCGATGTGTTAGGAATGCAAATGGTCATTCTCTAATTGGTATATGTGCATACTGTGCGTATTGCCTCGATATACCTTAATTCACAAGCATGGTAAGCAAAGATGGATAGCGGCTAGCAGTGGAATTCAGTTTGACGCCCGTTTCGTTCTATTTCGGACTCGTCAACTGGATGTACCTGAA